TGATCCCTTGAAGAGCACCAAGAGACGGAATTTATTCTTGTCAACATGCAAAGATTTCGCCAAGACTGTAATTGAGATTCCATACAAAAGGCGTCATGATGTTGAAAAACAAAGAAAAAATCCTTATACAACAAAGATCTCACCGCTTGTCTAATAGTTCGAGGGAAGCCATCAAGAAGGAACCCAGATTCACCCTTAGCTTCACCAGCTTTAAGACGTTTGGATAATAAATCAAATATGATTTCATTTGAAACCAATTTTCCTTGTCTAACAATCTCTGCAAGCTGCGAAAGTTCGAGGCATGAATTAAAGGGCTTGCGATCGACTTTCAAAGTGAAGGTAATTCTCCTTCTAACTCATCGTAGTCATTCTGAATGAATTCACTTCCGTAAATCAATGTACAAAACAACATGGTCAATAATTCTAACTAGTTAAGATGTGGGTTTTTTCCAAAACTATAGGGATTTTATAGCATTGGATTAATCGTTCACTTGCATAAAATGGGATCAGCGAAATGATAATGCAAATCCAGATTCACGCATGAATAAACAGAAGCCATTGTAGGCGACAAAATTTTTACATGCATAGAATCTGTCATGACACCATGAGACATGCCAAAAGATCACTTCAGTCCAATTCCTGTAAGTGATCGCTAGAAACGTTAATGTGGCATGATTCACTGCTTCAGATTGGGAACAGAACAGTACCCAAGAGAAAGAGGAAGAAGAAGAAGCCTGATTCATAGTAACCCTCACGAATTTCTGTCTTCTTTCAGGGGCAGAAATTTAGGATTTATTCGGTTCCCACATGCAATATAACCAAACAAGATGCTCGATACAACATCTTCCATGATCACAATTTTCAACTTCAGAATCGACCCATTATTTCAACGATCATTTCCGTAAGAAGACACGGTTGCCGTCACATAAATCATAATCAATTCGATCTCTTAGTCATTTTGATCCCTATTTTCCGACTACGCAAAGAAACTAAACGTGCATCCCCTCTCAAATACAAAATTAACGAACAGCCAAAAACCAGATGAAATTGAACAGAACAATTCTCAATTCTTAACAGAACAAAACCAAACGAAACCAAAAAAAAACCTGAGAAGCGAGAGGACCAGAGGAAGAGAGCTCCTCACGGACGAGATCACCGGTGGCGATATGAGGAACACCAAGCAAACTGGAGAGCCGAGACGCATAAGTTCCTTTCCCAACCCCAGGACACCCCAGAAAAACCCACTTCACATTCCTATCCGTGGGACGATCACCGCGTGAAGGTGCAGAGCTCCCGCTCAGCATCGACGATTTGAGGTCTACTTCAGACTTCAAAGAAGAAGAAGAAGAAGAAAAGGCCTTCAACAGAGCATAACGGCAAAACATGGAGGAAGAGAAGGTCGTCGCCGACGCCCTCGCTCCGGCAAAGCGGTAGAGTGGCGCCATGATTAGGCGGTGCAGATTGAGAATTACAGAGAGAAAAGGGGAGAGGCTTTCCGATTTGAACAAAGTTGTGGCCGAGTAAAAGTCTATTTTAGTCTCTTTTTTTTTGCAAACCGTGGCTTTCTTCCCTTCCTCTCTTTGTTTCTCTCTCAACCTTCAATGCTTTCCTTTTCAACTGAAAAAATATTTGAGTCTCGATTTTCACGTGTAAATATATATATATATATTGGTATATAATCAATAGATATATAAGATAAGATATTAATTATTATCTTAAATATTAATGGTCTGATTCTTTACTGTTCCACTGTGTGTATATATATTCGTAAAGTAAAGATTCTGACATTTAGTTCAAAATAGATAAACATTTTGCTTTGATGATATCCATAGGTCAACCCATTCGACGAATCAATCTTAGATCCATTTGGTTGCGGGTCTATTTATATTCGTTCAATGCAGGATACATTTTACTCTAATGTTATAGTGGAGAGGGCTGTCATCGATCTATACAATTTATTTTCTTGTTATTTGATGTTGATGGCTCTTTTCTAATTGTTAATCATTCAACTCGTACAAGTAATGTAATATGTCAATGTTGCACGATAATTAATGGAGTATACAAATACTGCATTCCTAATTTTAGAATATGAAATTATAAGAGCCACAATCATATTTTATTTGAAAATTGGGACATGTTTTGCATTTTTAATCTTTTTCTGTATTCTTTTATAAATAAATTAATTAATATTAGCCAATGAAGAGACTTTGATATTCATACAAAATATCAAAACTTAATAAAAATCAGACCATAAACTGTTAGAGGCCCCAACAAATCATAAATTTTTATAGAATTAAAACCACGAATTAAAATCTCATTCACCAAAAACATTATTGTAAATTCCCTTTCGGAAGCATTATTACAAAGTTAAAATTATGAAAATGGTTGCGCTTTCTGATTGTTTGAGAGGAATTAAAAAATATATAAGCTTGAGCATAATTTACCCGTTCCTTTGAAGTCAGAGATTCAATTTAAACATAACTCAACTAGTTAACATAACTTATTTTGTAAGTTGAAAGTTCAGTTCTCCGCCCTCCGCCCGCCTTAAATTGCAATGTTTTATATATAAACACAAAAAAAAATGAAAGTGTGTCATATATTATACCTAAAAACATGTAGCAAACAACCACAAACCGTAGCATAATGAATAAGCCACATATAACTTAATTTAAGTAGCCCTAAAATTAGCATTTGCAATAGGCCAATCAGCATCAACAGTCACCCTATGAAATAAGGAAAAGAGAAAAGAAAGAGAAGCAAAGGAGAGAGAGGAAGGAATTGAACACGCAAGAGAGACCGTAAAGATAAAGGTATCTCCACATTTCCAACCGAGAAGCCTCTTTTTAGACCTTCTCCTAATCCGTGTTCAACGACTTTTGTGATTATTGAATAGGTTTTATATTTTAGGATTGAAGCCTCTTTTTATTTCTAATTCTTATAAGTTTGAGTTTCAAAAGTTTAACATTAAGAAATTCAAGATTCTATAATATGTTTTGAACTGAACAGAGGAATATGTTATAAAAGTTAATGGAGTTCGTGCGTTTATTTATTCTACATAGGCTTAATAAACTTTGTAGCTTCGGATATGTACGACCATACACTAAACATAGACTCAGATTTCTCAACTCTATACTGCACAAGTCTGACCTACGAGTCAAACATCGAAGTATATCTACCTTCAAAAACTCTCGAACTTTTGTCTTTGTTTACAGTGAAAGAATATCGAACCATAACTAAATTTACTTTTGAAACAATAATGAACAAGAAAAGAATCGAACGCAGGTCAATGAAGGGGGTGAAGGAAGCTAAGCAACACGATCTACTTTTTTCCCTAGTCCAAAAATAATCAGTGTTGGGGGCTGTTGAGAGATTCGTGGACATATGAATGTGTTCTGCGTTCATATGTATGTGCCATGAATTCTCGTTTAAAGCTGCATTACCCATTTTAGTATGGTTTACTCAGCCAGATAGCCTATCAAGATTATCACAAAAGTGTACAGAGAAGTCGACGTGTACAAGTGATTTCGGAGCGATCGATGCTAAGAAGTTGAGGTTCAAGCTCATCAGATGAAAATATGTTAGATAGTTGTACTTCTAATTTGCTTAAACAGATGATTTGAATAAGCAAGAAAGGAGTTTTTTTTTCTTCCTTCTAAGATCTTGGCAACTTCAATGATAGTCTAAAGCTTTAGAAGGCACTTAAACACAGAAAACTAGTTTTCAAACTAACTCTCGAAAAGGCCCTAATATCAACCAACCTTGTGTAAAACAGTCAACCAACATATGCTGTAAGTTAAACCATTATAGGTTGGCCTAGTGGTCATAAGAACCAATGAGTTTAGCGAGGCCACCTACCTAGAATTTAATATCCCACATATTTCCATATCAAGCAAATATCGTAGGGTCAGACGGCTATCCAGTAAGATTAGTAAACATGCACATATGCTGAATATTTCAACGGTATCGAACAAACACATGGAAGAGGAATGAAACAAGCAAACAAGCAGTAGAAGATTAGAGGATATATTCACTATTGGAGGGAAGGCCTGAAATTCTAAAGGGAGCTTAAGCATGTTTGGTCAAGCTTCTCTGATATGGTCACCACAGACCCACATTGAACCAAATTCAGAAACTTCCATTTGAGGGTTGTGTGTGGCTAAGTATTTCATGAACGGAGAGGTATAATTCAGTTTGTTTTTTCACCAGTATTTGAACGCTCTTTTCAAAGCCATTGCAGAAGAACAAAGGAAAGTGTTTCACACCAAAGCATTAGTTTAGAAGTAAACCCGGATTCACACTAACTGAAATACACGGCTATTCTCACACAAACAAGAAGCTAACAGCCTAGTGTCACGGTCATGCTTCTTCAAGGCATGTTGCCTATGGCATCCAAAACCCTTGCCTTGTATCACTTTATTGTTTTCCTTTACTACTTTCATGATGTATAGTCTCCTTATTGTATTTTCTAAATGTATGACATTTTGGAAGAACCATGTCTACACCTAGCAGACATGAAATGCCCCAACTATAGGGATGAGACCAATCGTCAACTCCTCCCACCTAGATTTTGTATGACCATTCGACGAAATCACGTCTAGGCCTACCAGACTTGAATCACCTCAAAATGTACTATAGTGGGATGCAACTAGTTGTCAAATTCTCCCTGCCTGAAAAGTTATATGCTATCTAGGTCGTCAAGTAATGGCAAGTTGGAATACATAGTTTTACCGGGTAACATTGAGAGCACCAACCATAAAGAGCATAGCTCCACTCCCAAGCAAATGTTAAAAACATGTAAGCAAACATGAGCGATGTAAACCTTATAAATGGGCCAATATGCATGAGAAAATCAATAGCTTAGAAAGAATTTCAACTTTACACCAATTCTAAATTTTCATAGAGTGTCTATTTCCAATGTTACAAACTTGTAAGCACCAACCATAAAGAGCATAGCTTCACTCCCAAGCAAATGTTGAAAACATGTAAGCAAACATGAGCGATGTAAACCTTATAAATTGGCCAATATGCATGTGAAAATCAATAGCTTAGAAAGAATTTCAACTTTACACCAATTCTAAATTCTCATAGAGTGTCTATGTCACCTCATAATTACTTGAATTGACAACACCAACAAAAAAGAAAGCATAAAATCAACCATACATTCTGCTGCAAGGTTGATTCAGAAGGGGGTTTCGTTATAACTTACAGCTAACAGTGGAAACTCTTCTTCTATGTAAATTACTGCCCACCACCACCGCCTTGCTCCTCCAATTTCTGCACGTAGGCCTTTAAAACCATCAGCACGTCCCTTGCCGGGGCCTGTAATGTTCCGACCAAGCTCGATGCCGGACCCTTCAAAAGACCCAACATTTTGGCATAAACCTCCGCTCTCGACGGCATTGTCTCTAACGCCTTGAAATCATCCGGCCCGTAATATTTCCCCTCGAAAACCGCACCGGTGAAATCATTATCCTCTAGCTTTTTCTCCTTCTGGAAATCCCTGTAGGGCTTAATTGCGGCAGGAATTTCCTCGGAGTGGACAAATAGCCAAACATTCATGCCCTTCATGCAGGGCTTTAAGGCTTCCCAAGAAGTCCCTTCAATAGCTTTAAGAACAAGCGTGTTTTTGGCGACAATAAGTTTCGAGGTTTCAGGGAGAGATCGACGAAGTTCTTGAAATTGCTTGACGGTGAAGCCTTTGTACTTGATTCCGGCTAATAGATAGCATTTATCGAGCTGCTCCTTGACTGTTTCGACAGTTTCTTCTTTCTTGGTGCGAGAAATAGCGGCGGCGACCTTGAGACAGCGATAATGGCGGCCTTGATTGGTGGAATGGCGGAGGGGAGAGAAGGATAATGGGTTTGTGGGACGATTTAGGGTTAAAATTTGAGAAGAAGAAGGGGTTTTGAATGAGGGAAAGCTTAGAAGAGAGGCTTCCATGGCGGAATTTCACCGTTGTGTGGAAGAAGAGAGGACAGTGTGCAGTTTGGGGCTTATCTTATCACTGGTTCCGTTTGAAGACGATGGCGGGGAGAGATATGGAAACTCGATCCCTGCGCTCTTTATTTATTTTTTATTTTATTTTTTTATTATTTTAATTAATAACATTAATTTATTCCCCCAAAAAATTATATTTTTGGTTAAATATTCATTAAATTACTATTTTAGTTTTAAATTATTTTTCCACTGGGTAAATATAATTATGGAATTGATAAGTATTTAATTTATATCAAAGTTATTTTCTAATTCACTTTAATTTGTAAAATTATATTGGGCCTCGTACCAAGAACGGCCCAAATATGAAACTAAGCCCAAAGTCCAGTTCTAAGGCCCACATTTGTGCAAAGAAACACGAAGATGAAAACAAGATTGCCAGCTTTAAGGGCCCACAGTTGTTGGGCCTTTGTTCGGTCGGTCCAATTTAAAGCTAAGAACCACCGGTGAGTTGAGGACAAGATCGTCATTTAATCATAACAAAGCGAAATCTGTCTTCCGCATCCATCCTCTCTTCTCCAGGTTGTAGAGGAAAGGCTCTGATAAATCTGTTCGCACAAACCCTAATTATCCGAACATCGTCTGTAATTAAACAAAATTTCTGCTTCTCGACATCTATTTATCTTCGATTTTCGTTGTGTTTTTGGCTTCCGATCGACTTTGAATGCGAAATAAGAATGCCACCGAAGCAAGCGAAGGCCGACTTAGCGAAGAAGCAGAAGATCGTTGAGGACAAGACGTTTGGTCTGAAGAACAAGAATAAGAGCAAAAACGTTCAGAAATATGTTCAGAATCTCAAGCAAGCTGTCCAGCCAAAAGTCGACCCGAAAGTAGCTGCCAAGGTCCGGGTTTCTCTGCTTCATTTTTAACGAACTTTAGTCTTTCGGTCAATCATGTGAAAGTTATGAATTAATGATGAATTTGATTTTTTGTGGGAACGAGAAGAAGCTGATTATTATTATTTTTTTTTTTTATGGTATTGAGCAGAAAAAGAAGGAGGAAGAAAAAGCTAAAGAGAAGGAGTTGAATGACCTGTTTAAGATTGCCATTAGTCAGCCAAAAGTACCCGTTGGTATGTGCATTTTATTATATTTCGTCTTTGGTTTTAGTTGGGTTTTGTTGTTTGTTTCGAAGCCTTAGCATTGAACTGATGTGATAATTGGTAATTTGGTTAGGTGTTGATCCCAAGTCCATAGTTTGTGAGTATTTTAAAGTGGGGCAATGTACGAAAGGTTTTAAATGCAAGTTTTCTCATGATTTGAATGTTCAGAGGAAGGGTGAAAAGATTGATATTTATAGCGATAAGCGTGATGAAGGTGAGTGACTAACGTTTTTGTTTTCTCAAAATCACCAAGTTTTCATTTCATAGCTTCTTTTGATTACTATTTGATTAAAATTCTTCACGGCCAATGGTTTTCCTTAGAAACGATGGAGGATTGGGATCAAGAGACATTGGAGAAGGTTGTCGAATCAAAGAAGAACGAGTATAAACTCAATAAACCAACAGAGATTGTATGTTTCTCATGTCCCCTTCGTAGCTTTCTTACGTTAAATTGAAATATCTAAGTTTGTTCGTTCTGACACCTTAACTCTAATATGCAATCCCTTCTTTAGATCATAACATTATTACACCCTTCTGGGTGGTAAAAGTATCACACCGTTTGTTGAAAAGGCTTATGCCGTCATGAGAATGCATTGAAGTTTTTACACCTTGTGAATTGACTAGAAGAAATATGAACTTGTTGTATTCTTAAAAAACTTTGAAGTTCACTTGAGTATTTGGCTATATTCATTGCCTTCGCATTTTATTTTCGTGCTTACACCTCGCTTCTTCAAGGCATTGCATTGAGCCATGTTTATGTGTTAGCTAGAACCTAATACATTTCCTTGTGGCTATATTTTCGGCGATCTATCTAATCTCCCATGAATTAGAAGTTAAGGGGATTTAAGAATTGGGTGTGTGCCTGTTTAATGTATGCATGCACTGGAATTTTCATCAACTTATAATTTGAAGGTTTAAGGATTGGTCCAGGAAGAACTGTCCTTGATGTGCTTCTTACTGTAGAAGTGAAGCTTGCTGGTCAATAGAAAAAGGCTCATAATTGGTAATTCTTAATTTTAGAATTATTATTTATGAACTTCTGTTTTCAACACATAGATCATGTTCCACTCTTCAGTAACTGATTTATGTTGATTATCTTGGATTGGCATGCGATCTTCTGGAAAACTGAATATTTCTTGCTATAGTTGGTCCAAAGTTGATATAATGTTTATTATCCTATTTTAACTATCTGTTTGAAATGAATAATTTACAGGTCTGCAAGTATTTTCTGGAGGCAGTAGAAAAGAAGCAGTATGGCTGGTTCTGGGTGTGTCCTAATGGTGGAAAAGATTGCCACTATAGACATGCTCTTCCTCCAGGATATATTTTGAAGTCACAAATGAAGGAACTGCTCGAAGAGGAGAGTCAAAAGATTGCCATAGAGGAAGAGATTGAGAATGAGGCGAGGATGATTCGAATTCATTGTTTATGGTCCTTGTGGTTTTGATTTTCCTTTTGGTGTTTAAACCAAATGAAGAAAATGCTAAAAAAAAATTAAAATGCTTGAAAAAATTTGCCGGCTTTGGCCTCAATTCCCATCTTCTTACCGTCTCTTTTTACTATGTTTATTTGCTTATTCCAGCGTGCAAAAGTTAAAACCACTACTCCCATTACACCGGAGCTTTTCTTTCAATGGAAGAAGAAAAAGATGAATGAAAGAGATGCTGGTTTGGCTGCACAACAAGCAGAGAGAGCTAAGAATGATCGCATGAGGTTTCTACATTACTCATATAGTTAATTTTACTTTTAAAGGTAATTAATAGTCATATAAGTTCCATTTTGTTCTTCAGTGGTCGGGAGTTGTTTCTTGCAAATGCAAGCTTGTTTGTGGATGACGCCGAGGCGTATGAAAAATATCAGCGAGAAGAACCTGAAGCTGACGATGAACAAAAGGTAATTCTATGTGTGAAATTCGTACAGATTGCTTGTTGCTTCAGTCATTTGCGATTCTGGCTCATGAGTTATGCCGAACAGTTTGTTCATGGCCGTGTCCTTAGTTTACAACATTACCTTGCCAGTCAAATTTCCTTCCATGCTGTCTGGTTAATGAGTTTTCTATCCCTTTATGCCCTCTATTTTTCATGTGTTTCTGTAGTGTCTTCCCCTCCTCACTCTCTGGTTCAAGAACGAATGTTATGGATCCAAAAAGAAATAGGAAAAGGAGTACAAGTAATTCTAGTCCACTAAGAGACCAAGGGGGATGACTGAACGGCCCTCTAGTTGTTTAATATTAAATAGTGAAATTACAAGAAAACCTTTTTGAGGTTTCACTACTTTGAGGCTTAAAACTAGTTAAAATCCTAACTCTAACCCATACGGATTGAATAATTCTCTTCTCTCCCCCAAAGATAGACACCATCATATAGCTGTGTAAGCCCATTCATATAAAGGCTTCAACTTGGTTAATTGAACAAACTATATCAGTAGAATTTGCCCGATCTCACCCTTTGAAGTTACAAAAATTGAAGAATATCCATATTCTTTCGGAAGAAGGGAAGTAGCATAAGTGGTGTATTTGGTTTTCATTATATGCACAAGTGATATGTTTGGTTTTCATTATACTTGTTGCAAAGAACTCACCAGCTTGGGAAATGATTGAACAGTGGTTGTTCTCCTAGCAATGGTCCACCGAGTATTTAACTTTCTACAAATTGCTGATAAAACAAAGACTTTCACCTTCTTAGGAGCTTTGAAGTTCCGTAGTTCATTGGAGAGTGATCTTGTAATAACCTCCAACTGCTTGGCAAGGCAGTCAAACAAAATCTTACTAGTGAATGTCCTTGGTTTATCTAATTTCTGAATTCGGTTATCACATTAGCTATTCTAACACACAAAAATCAATCTGTCGGTGAGGCTGGATCACCTCCACCTTTCTATGGATGAGGTTCCTCCTGAAATATTTTTCTAATATCTGCAAGTGTATTGGGTCAATTTTGTGCACTCCGACTAATCTTATGGGACAACTGCATTGCCTAGAAAATTTATAGGATTTTAAATCCTAGGAAGTAGCCACCATGATTTCTCTTGGCCATAACAAGCACTAGGCCTTGAATAGGAGATCTCAATTCTCAACCACCATCTTCCAATCCAAGTGCGCCATCAATGATTGTACTTGTTAATTGGAAGTATGACAATCTACTCTATCCTCCCATTCTAATGAAATCTCTTAATCGTCCATCAATCTTATCAACCTTCAACAGAATCGTGAAGATGTGAGAGATGGTGAATTTCTAAAGCTTTCGGGTTCAAAGGTGTGCATGATTGATATAGCTTCTTTCAAAAGAATGCCTTCATTGATCTTTGTAGCTCATTCTTCCCAAGATCTGATACCTAAAACTTATGAGACAGTAGGATTTCTTTGATGAGAATACAATTACGCGGATACCCTTGCTCCACCTTGGATCTTCATTGATTACAAAATTGGTCCTAGATAGATAGCAGTTAGAGAAAGGAACTCTGTCCATAAAGCAACACTTGAAGCTTCGATATACCAATCAAAGCTTTGTAGACGTTCCTTCTCAAGACTCTTCATGTCTATTGCATCTCAATCACTGTGAAAATCATTTGAGAGGGCAAGTCGTTGGAAAACGAAGCCTGCACTCAAGGCCATTGTTAGCACCAAACAGGTCCCCCCTTGGCCTTCCATTTAGTGGGGGATAGATCTGGTAGGAGCATTCCCAATTAGCGGTTGGGCAAAAGCAGCATTCAATTATGGACTTAAGATTAAAAGTTTTATCATTCAAGAATAGTTATGAAGTCTAGGCATTCTACTTTTGGGGCATTAAGCTTCAAATATTCTTATATCCTTTTTTTTACCCCGTGCAATTTCAGGCCAAGGATAATTCAACGGGTAGACCCACTTCCTCAACAAGTGCTGTGGATGATTCTGAGGATGTTCTCTTGGATGATGACGACGACGACGACGACGAACTAGATCTTGACGAGCT